CATAAACTCAATACGCATCATTTATACAAGACATAATTCCGGGCAGAATCTAGCAACAATGTCACGGCTTCGTGCTAACAACTTGGAATACACTATTTGATGTGGATGGAGGTTCTCGTCCAAGACGTATAAGATTCCTGAGCACGAACTCCCTATAGTCTCGTACAAAGTAAAGGACTATCAGTGGATTTATTGCAGGACTCCATGCGAAAAGAAATGGCAAGAAGTCGGAGACTACCCCGGTATCGAAGGGTATCAGAGGTGCTATAACGCAAAGGTAGAACGGCAGGTGAATAAATAATAATGGAATGGCAGCCTGGAAAGTAAAACTGCAATTGAAAATGTAGCTGAAAGATATAACAGAGCTGTGACAATAAGTGGTTCCTTCAGAATACGGCCTCTTCATCAATTTTTTTTTGCCAAGACAGATGAGCTGCTCTAGCAAGGGAGGTCATTCAGGTGGTGGCGCGCTTATCAGAAATGGTTTGTTGCATGCTGTAGGGATCCATATAAGGAAAATGGGCTTCGTTTTTGCTATGCATTTATGGGAATGCCAAAAAATGAGTGAAAAAATTTGACAAGAAAGGGCGATTTAACCATCTTATTGGGCTCTGTTCTAGCTGTAACTTTGAGCATGCATAGTTTATGAGGTGTTCCTTGAGTATCTTCTTATATATAAACCAGAAGTTGTTTGTGTGTGTGTCTGTCTGACCACCCAAAAACTGAAGACCACATAAAACTGCTTCTGTTGGACGGATTCTAACTGGGATTGCTATAGGATAGCCAATTTTCAGGGAGCTTAAGCAAGGTAACCTAAGCTATGCGCGAGGTGGTTTGTGGATCGGATCCGCTTCGAGGACGGATTCCTTGCATTTCTCGGATTTCCGTCTCCTTGTGTTCCTGCGTGCGTGGTGATGTATATAACATGGATATATGCCATTTAAGAGCTCATTCTGTACACTAATAGTTCACGAGTCGACCCTACTTAACTATTGCGCTCTCGAAACATTACTGAGGAAACTCTTGCTGAAAGTTGGGCTACGGGGATGACTGGATGCCCTACTCACGAGTACGACACTCATTTTTGACCACGGCGCAACCTATCGCCGATTTGCTGCAAGAGCATTCTTGCACTGAAATCGTTGTCAACCCGCTCAGTTATCCCTGTCTAAGAACTTTCGTCAACAAATAATTTTTTGGCGGTTTGGTAATAATGGACCGTCCACTTGGCTGGCAGTGCACCTGATCAGCCCATGCAACGGAATGGTTAAACTTTAATTTTGCATGTGTAGGTATTGTACAATAAATATAGTCGTCCTTTTTTGAAAATTTATACTTATTGTAGAGCGTATATTCTAGTAAATGGAAAGGTCCAGGTATCAAAGTTGGATAACGACTTGTACAGGATACTGATAGCCACCAGTTCAACAAGACCAATCATCATAGCTCGAACAGCTCGAGGAGAAAAATTCGCTGAAACTCTGTATATAGAGGTTATTAATGGCCCTGATCACGGTTCTGACCTTTATAATTGGCGCCTAGGCCATTTGGCCAACATGGCTCTGAACACCCTCCCCCTATATGTGCGAACTGGCATGTTGCGAGAATCACTTGAGCTACTTCACTGCATCTACGCTACTTCACCGTATCAATTAAGGTATTTTTTACCATAACCTGTGTTGTTTTCAATGCAGAGTCGACGAAGATCTCATTTGCTATGCATACTCAACATTAGAAATAGAAAAGAGCCTAGAAAATGGCTCGAAATCGCTTTTCCTCAGCAAACTTTTCACTTGTTTTTTTCATTTCCAGGAGCGCATAGCAAAAACGAAACCCATTTTTGTGATCCTTATATGGATCCCTACAACACGCAACAAACCATTTCTAAAAAGCGCGCCACGACCTGAATGACCTTCCTTGGAAGGGATCATAACATTAAACTGAACCAATTCCTCTTTGACGCCTTATTACTGATCGAATTCAGGCACCTTTTCCTCAAAAGTAGCAGCCCTTTGATTTTTTGTTACCCTAAAGTCCGTTAGATAAGCCCGCGCGATCGCATCGCGCGGACTCTAAATGGGGCATCGTGAAGTCGAAACGGAAGACCATTTTCAGAAAATTCGAAACAATCAGCGATAAGGGAAGGCTTTTTTCCGAAGGACGTTCACAATATCGTAAAAAAATGTTTGATTTTGTTCGATTTTGTTACTTTTGAGGGTAATTATGAGAGAAAATAAACTCGAGTTAATTTCCATATGAATTCACCTGTGAGCAAGGCGAACTGGAAGAAAAATTAAACATCAAAACAACAACATTTAAATGGGATGGCGTCTCTGAATTGTACTTTGCGACAGTTTATACAAGGGGAATCGTAAAATCGAGCTTGTCCAATAATTTCAAAATCCTTCGAAATCGAAGTTGATCGACCTACTTCTCTTTACCAGCACTGCTTCAGGTGACTGCTTTCGAGGGTTCGTTCAAAAGAGCTTTTAATATAGTGCAGAATTCTTCTTTTTTTGAATTGTGAACATTCGTTATCTGATTTTTCATGTTCCTCGACCATCCGACCTTTACTCTTTTTTTGCGCTCACGTCTTCGAGATATGTATTTTCCAAAATGTCCCGCTTATGGCGATGTCGTGCAAACCTCCTGAACGGACTTATCTACCACACTAGAGGGTACTTTCATTAAAACTTTTTGTTTTTGGAAGATTCCCATTTTCACTTGGGGGCAATTCACAATTCACAGTCGCAATTTGCTCTTGAACTTTGCTCGTTTTCTGTCACCAAAGCTGATTCGATGTCTGTCGCTTGTGTCCCGCTCCTGAGAACTCCGTGGTGCATTGTCCTTCAGTTTCCACTGAATCCAGTTTGTTTTTCAACCAGTTCACTCGGTGCACTTACCGGGAATGAATCGCTACAGTGGACGTAAGGTCTTCAAGGCGTTAAAACTGTTTTCAACTCACTGAGAGAAAGAGGGAGTTGAGACATTTCCATGAAAGCAATCCTCTTCCACTTATAGCTCTGAGCGTACCTTCCCTGAACGTTGTTGATGCGCTCTATCGAAGACCGCGTATGCATACTGATCCTGCTCAGGACTTAGGTGTCGTCCATAAACACAGGCTCGGATTCGATGATTGCATACGTAAGATGGTGTCACGTTCAAATAGAATAGGCCTCTTCATTCTCATATCAACTCGAGCACGAGGCGCAGCTGTGCTATATCCTCATTTCGCTCTTTATTTCCACCCTGCTCGAGCGTTGCTCGACTACGCGGTCGTGTTGCTGTAGTTCATCGATCAAGGGATGAGAATAACAGGAGGGTTCATTGTCGTAAGCGTTATTTTGTAGGAGAGCCTTCACTACTTCGGAAACAGGTAGCTCTCATGTGTTGTAAGTCATCCGGCGTTCAGCATAGCTATATCCTCGTGGTGAAAGTCTCATAAAGATGAATCCAAGTAGTCAAACTGAGTTCTGAACTCATCTACGCTGATCTGTATCATTCTTGACGAACCACCAAGGGTTCATTCGATCTTCACTTTTGCCTGTGAACTTTTTTATATGCCGCTTGCTTGCAAGATTCGAGATCTTTCTGCAAAGACGTGAGATCTAACATCCAAACGTAACTCTCTTCCTATTCCGTGATTGTCTGTGGTAGCTCAGGTCAGGACTCTTTCCATACGACCTTTGCCTTGATTGCTGTAGTTGCTCTGGTGATGAGGTCCTAGAAGGCATTCATTGCTGTTATATGACTTGGTTGAAAAACGGCAGATTCGTTCAACTTCACTGCTTTCAAACTTCAGCGTGCTTTCAAACAATCCTCATTCTTATAAGGATCTCTGGTTACTAATAACTGGCTGGTGAATGAAGTAAACTTAGTACGAGATCCCACGAGATTGCATGAAACCTTTTCGACAAGGTGGAGGTCCTTGGGGAGAAGTTCCGTTTTTCTTCAGCTATCATTTTCTCAGAAAGCAATTTGAAACGCTTCATTTTGAAGGCCTCCCCCAAAATGATTTTCTCTGACTTCATTTTGCATTCTTTTAGGTCTGAGTATCACAAGGCAAGGTCGTGCGTCTGTTGCATCAGGCAGGTGTGAACGCGGCAGTCCTGAGCAGCAGACGCAAGCCGAAGTAGAGTTCGTTCTGAAAGCAATCATGCAAATGAGGACAGCGCTCGAACTGCATTGTTTGAACGAGCGCCTGCTTTTAATGAAAAAAACTGTACTTTTTTCATATCGCAGAAGAGGATGTTATTAATTACACTCGTACCTGCGCAACCAAAGTACGATAAAGCTGTGCTTGAATTCTTCGAGTTTTTACATCACTGCACCCGCGTATGGCAGCTTCTGCTATAGACTTTGAACAAAATACCATTATTGCAAGAGAAACGACCATCACAATAATCAAGGAAACTGCTGCAGCCATCATTACTCTGCTTTGAGCACGGTCGAACCCAGTGATGTATTTCTGAAAAGCTTTTCTCTCGGATGATTCGATCACATTTCATGTGCTCCTTCTCCAACGAATTATCTTACATGAAAAGATGCGACTAGATAGGTTGAATTCCAGTGGACGTTGATCTCAGCAGCGATTCCATCGAACATCTCTTTGTCGGTGGCGGTAGGCCATGCGGCAAAGCATATCATAGCGCAACAAATAGATGATATGAATAAAGGTACAATCACAAGATATTTCAACCAACCATAGTGCCTTGCCAGGAAATTCGCCCTGCAAAAAACACCTCATGCTAGATTGTGCATTTTTTCAACTGAAGACTATATTCACAGATGAGCACGAATAAGAAGCTTCCTCCGACGATTATGCTCATGATAGGACTTTCTCTCGCTCTATCTAGAACAAATGGCAGAGTGACTCCAAAAATGTTGAGAACTGTGGGCGATTTCTGTGGTTTGAATGCTTGGTAAGTGCCCAGTAACATACTAATATACAATATCTGAGGTAG